TAAAATTTGTCATTTTCATTATATGATTCTATGTTTTTCCAGTATTCAAAAATGTTAGTGGTGCTCCATAAATTACAGGATTAGACCTAGCCTTCAGTCTGGCATGCGGAGTCTTCCATAATCTCACATCACCTTTCCTGTCCACTCCTCTTCTAACGTGTTTCTGAAGGAAGCCCCTGCTATAACCACCCTCCCAATTGGCTTAGTTTCCTCTCTGAAATGCTTCTCAGAATTACCACTTTTCTGAAATTTAGTCATGCTTCAAGGCCAGTTCTAGAACCCTCTGCTCCCAGGCAGATGATAGCACCTTTAGGAAAGAAGGTTGTCCTTTTCATGCCTTGTCAGTTGTCAAACAGAAGCACAATCAATGTTGGTTGTCATAATGAATGATACTGCTCCAGGGCCTGCTCAGCATTCTCGTCTTGCTCAGCACACTCATTGTACAGCCACCTCAGAACCTGCAGTCACTTTGTTTCGTAATGACAGTGTTACATTAGCTCACAGCCACAAAAAGGAACCAGGGAGAAAGGAGGGAGTGGAACTAACCTTTGATGGGTGCCAAGTACATGCCAGATAAGTGGTATTATTCCCACTTGATATGAAAATTCTGACAGTCAGGGAGGTAGTCTCCAGGTGAGGCACATAGTGAATAGTTAGAAATGGGATTCAAAAGGCCACACCTTTTCCATCTCTTATATTGCCTCCCTGAAGTGGCACGTGAAATATGACTGTGTTCTTCTTTGTTTATGTGCTCAAGAAATATTTATTGAGCACTTACTGTGTAGTAGGCACTGTTGCAACCATTGGGGATAGAGAAGCGAATGAAATAGACAAAGCATATCCATGAAAAATAATGCAGGCCAGGACAAGAAAGAATGCCAGAAGTTGAGTGTGAAGCTGGCTTTTTCACTTAGCCTGGTCAGAGAGGGCTTCTCTGTGAAAGTGACATTTGAGCAGAAGCCTGCAAGAAATGAGAGAAAATGTCTGAGGGAGGCTGGCAGACATCTGGGAGATGCATTCCATGCAGAGTTTATGGAGCAACTCAGAGGACAGTGTGCTTGGATCTGAGAGAGCAAGAGAAGAGGAGTGTTAAGTTGGTTCAGAGAAATTGAGGGCCTATGGCAGGCAGATCATGTTGTGAAATCATGAAAACCTTTATGACAAAGTAGTTTCTTAAACTTGTGAAATAAAGAATTTTTTTGGAGGAGGGCATAAAATGGATTGGCTTATTAGCAATTCTTTATTCCCTCTAAACTGAAGAGAGAGTCTCAAGGGAGTGTTATACCTAGTAGAGGAGAGGTCAAACATTCTAGCAACATGGAATCAGGAAGAACCCATTTCTCACCTGGAGAGACCAGAGGGCCAGGTTGAAATGATCTATGCTTCTCCTCCATATATTCAGTATCTCCCTTATTCAACAAGCATTTATCAAACACCTATTATGTGCCATGAACTGTTCTGAGCACTAGGAATATAGCAGTAAAACACAGTCAAGAATCCCTGCTCTCCTGAATTTTCATTTGGTAACAGTTGCAGACTTTTTAGAAGACATAATTCTTTTTGGTGGTGCTGGTTTTTGAACTCTTCCTTAAAACATTTGTTTTGTTGAGCCTAAGAAGTTAGTTTTCCATATTTTTTATAATAACCACTTTTACAAAATTTTTCTTTTGCAAAAGTATTGCAGCTATAGGCTGTTCCTGTTACTCATTTATTGTATTTTTTCAATATGTTGATATACATGCTCTAGTTTTTTAAATGTGGTTTGCAAGTCATTTCCATAGTAAAAACATATTTTTAGTAATAGTAGCCACTCACAGGTAATTAACTTTAGCATATTAGTCTATCATGTTTTTGCCTGTTGTCTTCTACTACACCTTACATCACAAGCACGTTTTATTAATACTTACAGACACTTTCCTTGCCTGATATTTTTATTTTAGAAAAATCTTTAAAAGATGTAAACATGTGGACGGATTCATGAGAGTGAATTTGCATAGCAGATAACTTTAAAAACAAACTCTAGGAATGATGAACTCACTGTATTTTAAAAAGGTCTCTTATCCTTTACAACCAATTTGAAGACAGTGAAAACAGAAGCACTTTTGGATTTTTACAAAGTTGGCTCTTCTGAATATACACATGAATTTCCTATTGTGTTTCAAAATCTTCTTTTCAAAGTACTTTCCCTGAGCAATTTTTGAGCATTCCCCTCTCTGTCTCTTGTAAGCATTCATTTATATTTTTTAGAATCAGGTGATTCTCCTATGAAAAGTACAGGCTTTTTTGGAAGTATCTACCAGAGTTGTCAGTCACTTACTTCACTTCTCTGTTATTCTTGCTAAGAACAATTTGAAGCTACTCTCTGAGGGCAGTCAGCCTCACTCAGGACGGCAGCTGCCTGTTTTGGTCATCAGCTGCATTTTCCACAGCCAGCACA